CAACATAATCTTTAAATTTAGGGGCGGACATTAGCAACTTTTTTTTTCGACCCAGTCTAATGTACATCCTACGTAGATGGTCCTTAAAATATCGGCATGGGGCACCCTATATTATGTTCTACGTACAATATAAAGACTTCTACGGAAATTTTAAAATTTAAACAAAATTTTTAGGGGCTTGAAAAAAGTAACAAAATTTTGATTTTGGCCATCTATATATCAGTTAGTTTATGAATTTATATGAATAAGTTTTAATACGCTGAGTTATAGTCCGTCAAAGTTCAAATTTTCACGAATTTTCCCTAAAAAAAGAAAAATTTTCGATTAAAAAAAATTATAGATTGTCGCAATTTAAAAATAATTTAAAAAAATATATATTTTTAATCGCGATAAATTTGCAATATTTGTATTTTGACCAGTTATAAAAATACGCTGCGTTGTACCTGTTAAAAGTCCAAATTTTTACGATTATGCGATAAAAAATAAATTTTATCGATTTCTAAAACTTAAGATTCGACAAGGGCACGACCTTCACCCATCTGCTTAATGGATGAGATTTAACGTGTTAATAAATATTTCGTGAGTAGGTGAGCTGAAAACATCCTGGCCAGGACATTTTGATTAAATATTTAAAAAATTTTATTATTTTTTTTTAATTTTGTACTCATTTGTTTAATGAACAAATTATATATCAATCGAAAGTGTTAAGCCTATAGAATGTAAAAACGTTGGGTTGTCTATTTTTTCCTGGCCTGCCTATCGGTTTGTCAGGTATGAATGAACAGGTAGGTAATACTAGTAATTTTCACTCATCTGTTTAAGACATTCTATAGGCTTTATGCTTTCGATCGGAATACAAATGTCATTTGTTCATTAAAAAATTGAGCGCAAACTAAAAAATAATAATTTTTGACCAATTAATTAAAAATATCAGCCAACCCACTCGCGAAATATTTATTAACACGTAAAATCTCATACCAAATAGATTTCATCCATTAAACAGATGGGTGAAGGTCGTGCCCTTGTCGGACTATGTACTTTTTTTTTCAAATTTGAGGTGCACTGTCAAATATATCCGGCATGCGATAACTTTTGAACAATAAGCTTTCCACAAAAAAAAAAAAAATATTTTTCTCATCTTCAGGGGGTTGACTTTTTCTGATATACAAAACTTAAAATGTTTAGCTTACCGTAAAATTGTTTCAACGCGGAAAGGGTTATACCTCTTTAGCTTGATACTTCTATTGCAATATTTCACTTATTTTATCAATTTAATGATTGAATCAAATTTTTCAAATAGGTGGCTACACTCCTAAAAAATATTTTCTAAACCTCTTTAGTTTGAAACACATATTGCAATGTTTAATTTATCTTATCAATTAAATCGAATAAAAAAATTTTCAACACGTGGCAACCTTGCACAAACATTTATCCGGCTCATAACCTTCTTAAACCTCTTTCGTTTTACAGCCATATAGCAATATTTACATTACCTTAACAATTTACTTAAACTGCAATTTTCAAAGAGGTGGCAACTCTCAAATTTATTTTCTTCTATATTTTAAGTGCCACAATTTGATTATACGTATAGATAAGAAGAATGAGAAGACAATTTCGGTTATTTTAATTTATTTCTTTAATATTACAGTTTCGGCGAAGTTTGCCGTAGCAATGCTGCCGGGAGAGATTCGCCGCTACATTTTCAATATTGTTGGCTGTTGCCTAATTTTACTGGGTCTTCTACATGGATTATTTAGTGAGGCAATTTTCAACCAATTAATGGAACAGGTGAGAATTGAAGAAATTTAAATTTTGTTCATTCAAATTCGCATTCCATTATTAACTTTATAATTCGGAATCGGAGAAACTAAATAAAAACTCTTCAAGTTTTGCTATTCAGATTTCGCCTCTGTTTCGAAAACCAACTTTTCCATAACCCTAACCTAAGACTATAATTCGTTTTTTCTAATTTTGTTTAACCATTTTATTTTGTAGGAGATGATTCTACGCCCTAATTCGAAAATTTTCGACCTTTGGAGAACGCCGCCATTGAAGTTGACATTAAACTTTTACATATTCAATTGGACCAATCCGGAAGATTTTCAAAATCTCGACATAAAACCTAAATTCGAAGAATTGGGTCCATATCGGTTTACGGAAGTGCCAAATAAAGTTGATATTAAATGGCAACCCAAAAATGCTTCAATGACCTATAAGAAGCAAAGCAAATACTATTTTGATGCCGAGGGTAGCAAAGGACGATTGGACGATGAAATTGTTACCGTTAATTCGCTAGCAGTGGTAAGTCAAATCAGATAAAAAAACTTCCCTACCAGAAAAGTTTATCGCATACTCCAATACTCTCACTTAAAAAATTTACAGAAACTCGCACGGGTACACCAAAATGTATGTATGTATGTACAGTATCATACGTATGGTAGAATTTTCACTTTGCTGTTAAGAAAATCATAGAAACTTTACCCAATACACCAAATCTACTGATAACACCGTCCGAAAAAAACAAAAAAATTTCGAAATACATAACGCAATCAATATGCTCACGAAACTATGCGCCAAATATAGTAAACTGCGTTTTTATACCCGAGCGCACTTGTGCACAGGGGTATATTAATTTTGTTCACATAACGGTTGTTTGTAACAGCCAAAACGAATCGAGATAGATATAGACAAATGTATACATAAATGCTCAGAATGAATAGAGAAATCGATTAAGCCATGTCTGTCTGTCCGTCCGTCTGTCCATCTGTCCGTCCGTCCGAGTACACGATAACTCGAGCAAAAATTGAGGTATCTCAACGAAATTTGGTATGTAGGTTTCCGTTAATCCAAGGTAGGTTGGTATTGAAAATGGGCGAAATCGGACTGTAACCACGCCCACTTCCCATATAACGGTAATTTCCAGAAATACGAAAACTGCGATATTTTAGTAACTACTGAAGATAATTCACTCAAAATTGATATTTACAATAATTTTCAGACGAAAAATAAGAATATTATAAATTTTTGGAAAATGGGCGTAGCCACGCCTATTTATGGTTACATTTGCGTATCTTGGTAACCGCTGCACCAATTTTTTCCAAACTTGGCACAGTTGTTGGGCCTTGGTACAGCGTACTAAATGGCCGAAAATTTAAAAAAATCGGACAATAACCACGCCCACATCCCATATAACGGTAATTTAGAGAAATACAAAATCTTCGATAAATCAGTAAATATTAAGGCTAATTTATTCTAAATTGATGCTTGCAACAATTCTTTATCAAGAAATACGTTTATGGTAAAATTTTGGAAAATGGGCGTGGCACCGCCCACTTATGATCACTTATATGTATATCGGTAACCGTTCTACCAATTTGTACCAAACTCGGTACTTTTATTGTGCTTGCCACATAAAAGCAAAACATTGAAAATTATTGAAATCGGAGTAAAATTACGGCCGCTTTTCATATAACGGTAAATTTCAGAAATGCTTGAAATTGCAATTGGTACACCCCGGCTTACCATCTAGCGGTAGCTTTCGGAAAGGTGAAAAAACATATATTTAATACTTGCGCCGGGTATTTAATGTTCGGCTCCACCCGAACTTAGACTCTCTTACTTGTTAGTTTTCTCTTTGACGACAGGATTTTTTTTAAGAATTTTGTAGAATTAAAAACCATTAACATTTTTTGGTTCACAAGGAGGAATAAGTATTGAAAAAGTCCTTTCAATTAGTTTATTTTTTTTTAAGAATTAAAATAGAAGGACGAAATTCGAGGATGTGGTCGAGTGCGTTTTAGTCCTTAACATATATACTTTTTTTGAAAATAATATAAATTTTAAGGGTATTCAATGACGCAAGGATATTCGCATGCACCAAAAAATTTAATCGGCCTTAATTCTACAGAATTTTCTCTTTAATGTTATAATCATACTGTTTTTCTCTATTGTGCTATTTTTTTAAATTTATTTAATTAATTATATTTTTCAAATTTCAAAGTTAAAATAAAAAAAATTCCGACGTCAGAGAGAACAAATAAAAATGTAGTTTTACTATATATGGCCCATGGTTTCGCGAATATATAAAATTTTTTGTGTGAAAAATTACTGTCGCACGATGTAATACATAAGAAAAGAACGCAACAGTTTTTTTTTTCAGTGTACTGGAGGAAGCAGCCATTTCTATAAAACAGCAGCGAAAATCCTGCGCACGTTGCCCAGCTCCTAAAAGTTTAACAATTTGTGCGATTTTTTTTTAGCTGGCAACCCCAGTATATGTTTTTTAGTAAGGCTTAGTTTGTAACTCAGATCGCATAACCCGGACATCCCAAAGTACAATTTTTTGAAAATAAGTACTTTCTACATTCAAAACTACAATCGCAATAAAGCTTTCTTAAGCCTCTTTCTTGGCCCTCATATATTAATACATATTTCATTAAACTTACTAAATTGAATTCGACTTTTAAACAGGTAGCCGCCCCCTTTAAAAATGAGTATATATAAATATTTTTTAAATCTTGTTCGTTTGCCATCAAAGTTGAAAAATTTCGTTGAGCTTTTAGTCCAAATTTAGTTTAAATACTTAAATAGGTGGCAACCCTTTTTAAAATAGTTTTCGAAAATAGCCATTTATAAATCTCATTCGTATAACATTCAAATCGTTATATGTATTTCATTTAACTTATTGATTACATTTAATTTCATTTTTAAACAGCTGGCAGCACTTTTCACGCATATTTTCGAAATAAAGCTTTATTTATTCGCTGTTTTTCGCATTTTATTTCATTTGTGTATTTAATATATTTTTTTCTCATTAATATTCCAGTCCCTATCATCTAAAGCCAAGCGCTGGAGCTCTTTGCGTCGCCGTGTAATCGATATTGCTTTGAAGGTCTACCACGATGACATAACAATCAAGAAATCAGTGGATGAGTTGCTCTTTGGTGGCTATGAGGATGTACTTTTGAATGTGGCCAACTATCTGCCTTCATCGTTGATAGATGTGAAGGTGCCATTCGATAAATTTGGCTATTGTTACCCGGTAGGTGTCCTTTAAGGGTCAGCCAAAAACTTAACACAAACTAATTGAAAAATTTTCTAAATTTTAATTACTCTTCAGCGTAATCTAAGTGCTGATGTAACTGGCACTTACAACATTTACACTGGCGCTGATGATATACGAAAATTTGGACAAATCCATACGTGGAACTATCGTGAAACAACACGGGAGTATGCGCCTGAATGTGGTAAAGTCTATGGCTCGCCAGGCGAATTTCAGTCACTCTACTTACAACCAGAAAAGCCAGTAAATTTCTTTTTGTCGGATGTCTGTCGAACGGTTGCAATGGATTATGTGCAGCCCGCGGTGGTGGAGGGTGTGAAAGGATTTCGCTATGAGGGCGGCAAGCGGATGGTAGACAATGGTGAGTAAAGTGAAATGGTCTATATGTGATTTGGATACGGGAACATGTTAATTGCTTGAAAAGATTTTGAATGTATGAATGTATTATAGAAAAGTAATGACTATAGACTACATAATTAACAAAGTTAAAAAATGTTAAAAAATCTCAACTTCTATTTGAAAGGCGCATATTGAGTAAGAAAATTGAAATTACTTTGTAAGTTGAAAGTATTTTGTAAGACAATTGAAAGACGATAGGCAAGATAGTTTGAAGGATTTACAGGGCGATTCTGGGAACTGTCTTTCAGCCACGCAAAGCCAAAAGTCTTTCGTAAGACAACTGTCAATTCTGGCAACTATCTTGAAAGCTCTTTAATGTTTTTGGAAAGACTAACTGAAAGACCTGCTAACGAGGAGGTCTTAGCGTTATGCTGTTGACCTTTTAGCAAAAAATTTTATAAAAATTAAATTAAATTAAAAAAAAATATATATTTTTCAGACAATTAAAACTAATAAATTAAAGGAAATTAATATAAAACAAGAAAAAAATTAAATGATAATAAGCAAAACAAAAAAAAAAAATATTTTTTAAAAATAAATGAAATTAAAAAATATATTTTTTTCTTTCTTAAACTACAAAATATAAAATTTTAATTAGAGGAAGACAAAAAATAAAATTAAAATAATAAAAAAGGCTAAAAATTTAATTCATTTAAAAACATTTTTTTCTATTTCGAAAAAAAAAAAAATTAAAAATAAATTAAAAAAAAAAGAAACCCGAATTAAATGTAAAAAAAGGAAAACTAAATAAAATTGGTTTCTGAAATTTAAATTAAATTTAAAAAAATAGTTTTCTTATTTTAAAAATAAAAATTAAAAATTATATGCAACCTACAAAAAATAAACATTTAATTTAAAAAACAAAATATAACATAAATTTCCAAAATTTACATGAAATTAAAAATATATTTTTTTTAAGAATAACATAAAAAAGTTACAAGAAAATTAAATTAATTAAGAAAAAAATTTAATTAAAAAAAGAAAAGATTAGAAAGAAGGAAATTAAATTAAATAAAAAAATATATTTTTCTTTTTAAAACAAAAAATCTAAAGCCTAAAACGAATTAAAAAAAAAAACATTTATTGAAATAAAGCAAAAAATTCCTCGGCCATTGCGACTGCTGGGCGAAAGACTTTTTACTATCTTAGCCAGAATTGCCCTGTTTGTTTATTTTGTCATTTGTCATTTATTCTGCCACGAAAGTCTTAGAAGCAAAAAACTCCCTTGTCACCTTCCATGGCGAAAAGCACTGGCATGCCATTCTAAAAAGATTTTTTTTTTAATTTCAGTTATGGTGATTTCGTTTCTATCAAAAAATGTTGCCTTTTCATTGCGCCTTTCTCTTTTCATGTTCGATTCTAAATTAAATGTAAAGGGTGAGAAAATTTTGTGTTCGTTTCTTAAAATGTTACACTCTTGCAAGGCAAAAAGCACACATTCTATGCCTATTATGAAATGCGTGAGCTAGACAAGGACTAGAAGGCAAAAAACTTGCCTTTTTACAGGGTTGAGTGTAACATCAAACACATTTTGCATATCATTTTGGGAAAAAACGAAATCACCATTAGTTTTTCCGTCATCCCTTGTTAAATTCATTTTTCTTTTTTTAAATTTTTTTTTTCAATTTAGTTCTCTTAGACTTTATTGTTTTAAAAAGAAAAAATGTTTTATTTTGATTTCGTTTAGTTAATAAAAAATTACTTTGGTAATTTTTTCTTTTTTTATTTTTAATTTTATTTTAATTTTTAGTTTCTATTGTTTAAAAAGAAAAAATATATTTTTTCTACTTTATTAAAATTTTTAGACAAATTTTTTTAATTTCTTTAATTTATATATTTTATTTTCAATACAATTCTCTTTTAACTTTTAATCTCATTTAATTAATACAAACTTACTTTGATCATTTTTTGTTTTTTAATTTAAGTTTTCTATTTTCTTAATTTAATCTTTTTTAATTTTTAATTCTAATTGGCTATTTAAATGTGCATACATATGGGTGTTTCCATATAGCCGTACGCGACATTCGTACGCTTATAGAGTAACGTAAATCTATCAAAAATAGAAGTTACAGAAAAAAAAAGATTAGGGTTATGTTGCAACCAAAGGGTACTATGTTTGAGAAAAAAATAAGCAGCCTCGAAACTTTTGTGTGAAAAATATCCGTTCAAAAACAGGTGATAACGTACGCGACAAAAAAAGAAGTGGTTTTAAGGCACATATACATATATGCGAAAGTCTGCGAATCATGAGAGTTTTTCTTTTCTTTAAAAATTCCTAAACTACGCTAAATAATGTACTTTTACAATCCTTCCATTTTTTGATAGAAATTATCTCTGGTTAGTTTTTATTAAAAAAAAATTATAATAACGTACGCGACATAACGTACGCGACAGATTTTTCCCCCATACAATATTTTTACTAGTAACACATACTAAATTAAATTTTTTCAGTTCTCTCCACCGTTTCGCGTTTTCGAAACCTTTTTCCGCCATCTGAATACGAAATTTAAAGTTATAAAGCCGTTTGAATTCATTTTCTTGCATTTTCGGTTTACATTTTCATGGAAACACGCATATATGCGAAAGTCTGCGAATCATGGGAGTTTTTCTTTTCTTTAAAAATTCCTAAACTAAGCTAAATAATGTACCTTTACAATCCTTTCATATTTTAAGAGAAATCATCTCTGGCTAGTTTTATATTAAAAAAAAAACAATAACGTACGCGACATAATGTACGCGACAATTTTTTTTCGTAAATAATAAAATGTATTTATTGAGAACTCTTCTCGCCACCGTTCCATTGTTTTACAATTATTTTAAGTAATTTAAATGGAAAATTCGCAATTAACATTGGTTTTGATGTATTTGATTCAAATTTTTGTACTTACAATAACGTATGCGACAAACTTTAAAGGGTAATAAAATATATTTTTACTTCGGTTGGAAAGAAAATTTTACTGTATATCTTTAACTAGAAGAATTCTCGCTTAAGAATTGTAATCTGCATTACCTGCGACTGCCAATATACAAATGAAATAGACAAACAATGTTTTTGCATAACGTACGCGACATTAGAATACTATCAGAAGCAAATCAAAAAATTACCGTTATTCGAGCTCTAACTTCTCCTTTTTCTCATTTTTATAGTTAGTTGTTATTGCAAATTTGATTTTAAGATGTAATTGTAATGTTTCAGATCTCTTAATTTAGTTAATAGGAAAGAGAAAATAGTTCATTTCATTAGAGAAAACTGAGTCGAAGAGACATTCAGTTTTACTCTTCCATTTTTGAGTTTGAAAATTCCAATAAGCTGAAATCATGATAAAAATATAGTAAGGTAGAACCGCTGAGAGGCACTTTTAAAATTCTTGACGTTTCCAAACAATTTAATTTTTAAATTTACTCACAAACTCAACACACAATTTCATTTTCAATCTCAAGCAACAACAATTTCGAACAATTTCAATTTTTTATTTTCACTTTTATATGATTTTAAAATGTTGGCAAACTTCAAAAAAAAATCATGGCCGACAAATTGAGAGAACGGTTATACCTTGCTGTGTTTTTATCATGGCTGAAATACTTCTATAATATAAGAATTCGAGTATTTTTCTCTTATTAATTCGTCTTAAAAACCCTTTTCAGTTGTTTTTATTTTTTCAGTCCTGGTTGACATTTTCATGGAACCACCCATATACATATCGCTAGCATAGAAAGAAAAGTTGCTAAGTCCCATTTTAAAAATTTTACAGGAGAGGAAAAAATCTTCCTATAGCCATTTTCTTTAACTATCTCGCAAGACTTTGAATCAAACATATTGCGCGTTTAAAGCAAAGCAAAACTCCATAAGAATCAGAAGGTTTCGATATTTATGAAAAGAAGTCGTATTATTTTGGCCTTATCGGATTTGCGGTGCTTCTTTTGGACTTAGCAAATTTTCCTTTTATTGCTTATGAAGAGGAAAAAATAAAACAAGTACCTTTATAATTTTCGAAACGATGCGTATTCAATTTCTTTAGCCTCCTATATCAAAATATGAGTTTTCATAAAAAGTGGACTTAGCAACTTTTCACTATAAGCTAGCGAAATGTATATTTCATACTTCCCACTTTAAATCTAATATTAATATATCTTTTAATTTCAGGCACGTTATATCCCGAAAATGTTTGCCATTGCAATGGCCAATGCGTGCCATCGGGTTTAATCAACATCTCATCCTGCTGGTATGGCTCGCCGATATTTCTTTCGTATCCACACTTTCATGACGCGGATCCTTATTATCTCACCGAAGTTGATGGTTTGAAACCTGAGAAACAGAAGCATGAACTCTATTTGGTGTTGGAGCCGAGAACGGGGTTAATGTTAGAGATGACAGCGCGTCTGCAATCCAATATTCTAGTCGAACCCATATCGGATTTTAGGTAAGCGTCACAACTTTTTCATAAAACTTTATTTTTTAAATAATGCTCTCAATTTCGCCACATACTCGCACACAGCATGTTCCGCAACAAACGTCGCGTCTTCTTTCCGCTCTTTTGGTTCGAAGCAAAGACACGCATTTCATCAGAGTTGGCTAACGAATTCCAACTCTTGCCGCGACTCATCCTATTTAGTCAAGTCTTTGGTGCCATTTGCGCATTAGTGGGCGTGGCATTGTTGGCTTGGTATCCGATTAAACGGCATTTGCAGAATCGCCTGATACAACAAATAAAAATCAATAATTTAGATAATGGCACACCACATCGGGTGGTGGGCAAAACCATTTCGTTGCAGCCGGAAGTCTCACCACTGCTGGTGGCAGATACGTCCAAAATTCTAGAGCGGGCCGATACTACGCTGTCGGTATAGAGTACGGGCGCGAGTACGAGCTCCACCGATCGCAGTTCAATGCAATCGGCTACGAGTTCAACGTGATTAGCTTTAAATTTTAGATAGTTCCTTAATAGTTGTAAGCGAGTACATAGATAGTGTGGAAAGAGATTATTGTAGTTTTAGTTTTAGTAATGGCCAATTATTAATTTAGATTCTACATATATGTATGTAAAATGTAAAAATTTGTTTACATAGGTGTTTGGTTGTTTTTTTTGGTACTTGTTACAAGCAGAAAGCAATTTTACACATTCATTAGTGAATACTCACATTTTCGCACACATTTTTATTGCACACACAACGTTTTTACTCACAAAACATTTAAAAAAATATTATATATCAAATACATACATATCCTTATCGTTGCTAATAAATTTTGTTTTGGAATATTTTTAAGCGGTAAGCAAAAAATTATTGATTCCATAATTTTATATGGTCGTTTTATAGTTATACATATAATGAAATGTATAGAACTTCCAATATGCAATTTGTTAAATTTTATTGTTATTTTTATACTACTTAAAATGTAAAATATGTTTTCTATTTCAAAATACCATGAATTAAAAAAAATACAAAATAATTTAAATCAAATTGTCTTCACTAAAAGATTTCCTTGGAAATTGTCATATGATTTTTGTTTTTTTTTTTTTTTTTTTTTTTTTTTTAGTCGGAACCAGTGCAAAAAATAGCACTCAGACTACACGCCGTCCATTGTACTGTTTTCATATCCTTTTTAAAATGTTTTAAATCTGCACGATTGTTGAGTATCAAAGAGCTCAGGTGTTCGTTTTTCAACACATCGCGGCCAAATGCTTCATACCTAATTCTTTCAAACATTTTCCATCCAGTAGCTTTCACGTGAAAGCATAACAAACATACGCGGGCAATTTGAAAAGTCAGTGATTTTTTTTAATAAAAGATATGTTTTCGGATCGATACATTACGTTTAGTCCAGGTTTTCCAATTTTTTAATTCCCTCTAAATAAAAGATTTTTCTGGGGGCCAAAACTGATGAATATGGTGGATGGGGAAGGAGTTCGTAGCCTAATTGATGGATTTTTCTATAGTGTCTTGATGGAACAACACTTTTTCTTGGCCAAATGTGTTCAAAATCTGTGATTAATATTCGCCAGTGATCGTTGAAGCGGTTACACGGTTACGTTTATGGTCGTGAGTGAGTATGCCCCGCACCCATGGCGAGTATAACTTTTTCATATCCTAATATTCAATTAAAATGCGAGTACCTACTCAGTTGAGATGCCTATAGCCTCAGCAACCTCACACGCTATCATTTTTCTTTCTTCGTACAATATAATTCCATGGATTTTATCGACGATTTCTGGCGTGGCGACTTCTTTTTGGGTGACCTGAAGGTTCGGAGTCACTTGTGCTGGTACGACCATAACGGAACTTAGCAAACCACTTTTTAACCATTCAAATTTATGGTGCAGAACCCCTATAATATTTATCAAGCCTTTTCTTGGTTTCGGTAGTGGATTTTTAACGCGAAAAAATTATGCTTAATCAGCGCACAAAAATCACTTTTTCCGTTTTCGTTAAAATTCACGAGGTTGTCTGACTTTAATAGCGGTGACGCAGCTTGCTCAAAATTTTTCACTAGGCTATTAATGGATGGCGCGAAATGCAAAAAGTGACTGTCTTTTCAAATTTCCCTCATACATCCGAACTTTCACATTTACATTACATTTACATTAGTAGGAAGTAGGATGTTATATAGAAAGAATAACTCGAATACAATACATACATATGAACATATGACAACGCGAACTATCTAGCGCATTTGCGCTACGCATTAGGGCTTCCGTGCTATTATGGATGTTTGTTATGCAAATAATGTTTAGTCATTGCCGCTAGTTTTCAAATTTGTTTCCCATTCCACCTCTAAAAAAGTTGCGGCTAAAGTCTATGACATATGTATGTACACTTAAATGACAACTAAGTTGTTATTGCTTGGTTTTTATAGATGGTTGACTATGACTTAACTTTCAGAAAAACATACATATGTATATATCGTCACCTGAAATGCAAAAAGACTTATCAACATCGTAACTTTCTTTTTTAAGTTTTTCATAAAATGATTTGGGAGTTGTAATTCGATGAAATCCATCATATCAATCAAAAACTGAATTTAGAATTTTTTATTAGTTGCGACTTTTTGTATTTCAGCGACAATGTTTGTTACGTCTTTTTGCATTTCAGGTGACGATATGTACAAACACAAATGTAATATAATAATAATAATATTAATTAATATTTAATCAGGGTTCCCTATACTTCAATACATCTTTATTGTACTCGTAAGTAGATATCTTTTGCTGAAGCTTTCAACAATCATTTTTAAAAACTAAAATTTTTTTCCTCTCATTTGGCAATACAACTGACTATCGTTTAAGAAGGATACGAAAAATATTAGCAAATTACATTTACCTTTCCGAAGCTACGCCAGTTATTCAACCCAATTGCAGATAGGCTCTTCTTCCCCTGCATTTTCCATTTTATTTTGGAGCCCTCTTGCTTTCGTTGTCTCCGCATGGATGCCTCATCGAAGGGTATTTTCAACGAGGCGTTTTCATATATGTCCATGACATTATAAAACCCTCACTGTTCCTCATTCCAATTTCTTCGGTATACATCGCTCACGCGAAAAGGGGGCCATAGACCTTAGATGTATAATTGTTCTCTCAAAAGCTTCCAAAGCCATCTTATCTTTGGCCGACATCATTCACGTTTCCGCGTCATATACATATAAGAACGGGCATGATGAGAGATTTGCAGAGCGTAATTTTTGTTTGCCGAGAGAGGGCTGCAATTTTCAATTGCCCAACGAGCATAAACTAACACCTGTTGACTTCATCTTCAAACAAGACGTCACGAGTTTAACAAGCTTAATTTATGGTTTCGACGTCAGGCGGTGCAAACAGAAATAAAATTAGATAGCGCACTAATTAGTTTCCAGAGTTTATACGCTGGTTACAATAAAAAAATTGATATCGTCGCCCGTATTCCAGAAACACGAATGTGTAAAAATGAAAATTTCGGGAAATCAAGTTTGAAGGATTTTATGTACGTGATTTAACTCTACATTTATGCAATTGAAATTGTAAAATATGTGGTTTCCGTGTACACATGGTATTCTGGGATTTAGCTTAACATAGAACATCCAAAGGTTAATCAAATCAACCCAATAACTCAAAACTGATAAATTTGCACATTCATGCTTCTGGCATAAGGGTGACGATATAGTAGTAAGTAGCAAATACCCGGCGTGTTTCGTTGCGCTTTAAAACTATTTTTGTGTTCTTACTCCCTCCCAATACTAGTATAACCTCATAACCAACACATCTGGTAGGTTTGTGGCCAGACGTTACGCAAATTCACTCGCTGCAGGCCTCAAAACTGCGTGGTTTCACTAGAGTAATAGGTCTGGACGAGGGGTTATGATAAGCTCTGAGCACGGAATCGGCCCAAGAGCGCAGTGCACATCTTTTATCAAATCTATCTAACTCTAGATAGTTAATCAGGTCCAAGAACAAGTTAAGAAACACACCTTTTTCTGTAAAATGCCGTTTCGGTGGAGAATGCTATGTTTTCAAAGTAAACGTGAAGTATTCAACTTATCCTCATTTTGACTTGAAACCTAAATGTTTACTTAGTTTGCAAGATGGAAAAATAGGTAAGGTTGGAAACAATGAAGCGTAATTGAATTAGAGGGTGCCATGTCCCATATTTTGGATGGAAAAGACAACCTTTCCCCAAGGTGTATCAGTCTGCCATTCATGATATATGGGCAGTCACATAGAATTTGCTTTGGGCTTTCTACTACCAGCCCACAAAACCTGCAGTCCATCACTACAGGAAGCCCAATTTTATTCAAAATGGTACCTTAACTTGCAGTGTTCTTTCAGGTAGCCAGTAAGAGTTATGTGACCCTCAAGGCGAAATTCAAGGAGTCTTTCGGAGTTCCTCCTGGAAGGAGTTATGAATATCTTCGATTGTCCCATTCCCTTTGACTTCCGCCAGTGGGCACCAATCTGAGATACTACAGCTCCTAAGTAGTTCTGTAGTGTATTCTTTAGATGTACCTCAGAAAGGCTTGGTACCATGAAAGCGCGTTTGGGCTTCACGCTTTTCAAACGCTTCATGTCCCGGAACTCACCACACCGTTAAGCCATTGTGGGCTCCCAGATGGTTTAAAAGAGTTTTACAGCTGTCCACAAGCCTTAATACCGTTTTAAAAGAGTCTCAAGACCTTTAACGCTGCCTAAGTACAAAAATATTTAATACTTATGTTGGCCCCATTTGTCATTCAATTGTCATTCTGAAATATGGTTGGGTAAGTGCACAGACTTTTCTGGAATCTTAGTCCTAGTACGCCTGATCCGTATTCCCGTCGTCCATCTTCGATCCGTCGGTATATCATACTTCCAGGAATTCTGACCATGTAGGGTTTGTAGAAGGATAACTTCGGTAGCATGATGTTCGTAAGCTTGATAGCGGGATTATGCAGAATTGGCTTGAGTAGCTCCAAATGACCCCGCAGATCTCCATTTTTCTTGCTGATCGTATTGGGCAGCCGTAGAGTGCTCAAGCAGGCCAATTGAGCCTTTTGTCCAGAGTTACCCCTAATTCGCCTCTTCTCAGAACTCAATTTCTGCCCCTGCCAAGGTGGGTCTAGTCAACTTGATTTTCCTTCTTTTGTTAAATGGGGCAAATAGCCAAAAACGTAGATGACTAGGTCATACATATACATATATTTGTATGTAAAACAGGAGAGGAAAACAGAGGGTGAAAAATGAGAATTAAACAGCACGTCAAAAAGAAAGGAACTAATGAAAAATCAAGCAAAAAAGTCGGGGGTGTGTAGTTTTTAAGAGAATAGATAGTCGAGAGATACTTTTCTGAAAAAAATGCTTATTCTTTTGAGCCAGGTATGGATTTACATACTAGATTTGGAATCACTGAAGGTAAAGAGATAGAACCAGTATGATGCTATGGTATGCTAGGAATCCAGTAGAACAGCTGCTCGGCTAGCGTAAAATGAGAATTTCAGCTGCTAGGTAGATATAAAAGATGTTGAGAGACGAATGTTAAGATATTCTTTAAACCATTTTAATTTAACGATTTGCTAATTAAAAGCATGATTTGCCAGCAAACTCATGCCAGGCAAGTTTTGAGCGCAAAAAGCGGCATTCCAGCTGAAAAAAAAATCTAAATGAAGCGCAATGAAGTGAAGACTGAGCAGCCAGCACTGGAGAAAGATTTATATGTATAAATATATATATATATATAAATATATAGTGGCGTTCAAAATAATAGCAGCAAAATTCAAAATGAAATGCATGAACAAAACTTACTTTTATATGGAAGAAAATGCGCAACAGCCTCCACGAAAAAAAAAATTAAAAAAATAAACGGTAACTTGTAGCGACTTGAAATTTGCACTTTATTACACTAAAATTC